CTCGGAGTTACCACAGACTGGGCTCAGTGCTTGGTTACAGGAAGCAAGAAAGAGCACATAGGAGATGCATCTAATCCAAGCTTGAGGGCTAGGATCAAATACCAGAATTTTAGATCTTAAATTACCCACAAGCCCATCCAGTTCAAAGTTTTTCATTTTGCAGACAGGGACAGCAACTTATCTGGGGCCTGATCGCCAGTGGGGAGCCCCACTGGCGATCAGGCCACCCTCCTGCCTCTGTGTGTGCTGTACATAGCATAGTGACAGACCTCGGCTTCATACAGACCCCTTGAGCCACATTCCCTATTGTTATAAGACATTTATGTTTTCTAAAAAGATAAATATAAACCCAGTGTGAACAAATGTTTTGGGGGAATATATATTTACTGGGTTAAAGGAGCTCTGTTTTATTTCTTAGCTTTTGATTAGTTATTTCAAAGAGGATGCATTTGTTATTTCCTGCTTAGTGTGACTTACCAGGGAAGATAAGTCCATCCACACAATTAATCCAAGTTAATGGATATAAAAAGCTTGAACAGTCCAAAAATAGACCACTTAACACTATGTTGGAGGGGAAGGGAGATTCAAGAACAAATGTCAGGGAAACAGGGAAGTAAAATGTATGAAACCCAGACCTGGGTTGCTAACAGACCAACCTGACGTCATTTACAAATATGACTCTTTAGGCAAGTTACATAACCCATTCCAAGCCTGCTTTTCTCATGTCTAAAAATGAAGATATTACATGTGCCTGCATCACTGATTGTCATGAGGATTCAACAAAGTAATACATGAAAAGCACTTAGCATGTGCCTGGCAGATAATATCCAGTCAAAGAAATAGTCACTCTTATTATCAGCCAGTAACCAGAATTAAACAAGTTGTGATACTGTTTATATATAAATGGTAAAACTGACACTATGAATGTATTTGTTTATGCCTCACCTCATGTTAAAAAGTGCAGTGGAAATAGGTGAGAAAGCAAAAACAAACAGCCAAAAATAAAGCTGACAGCTACCCTGCCAAACTGTATCCTCACTAAAGATCAGCCACACACTTGGCTCAAAGCTTGCTCATAATCAATGCAAGTAGGGCAGTCTGGTCAGTTATACATTGTTCAGTGTTCAAATACTTGACAAATATTTCCTGAGTGCCTGCCATGTACCAAACACTGTTCTTTGTTGTTGGCGATTCAGAAGTGAAGACACAGACACAGTCCTCACCCCCGTGGTGATTACATTTAATAGGGAGAAAACAGGCAATACACATGGTGAATTAGATGATAGTGTGTTAAGAGGGAATACCTGCAATGGAGACACAAAGAAAGATAAGAGTAACAGAGAGCTTGCAGTTTTAAGTAGGGTGATTAGAGTAGAGCTCTCTAATTAGAATGGTGACATTTGAGTAAAGATGTGTAAGGGATTAAGGGAGCAGGCCATGTGGGTATTGGGAGAAGAATATTCCAGACAGAGAGAACCACCAGTGCAAAGGCCCTGAGATCAGAGCAGGTCTGCAGGTTCAGTGGATCACAAGGAGGCCAGTATGACTGGAGCAGAATAATCTAGGAAGAGAGCATAGAAGATTGGAACCAACCATGCTGTCCATTGAAGCTGAACTGCATTAAAAAATGTGGTACATATACACAATGGAATATTATACAACCATAAAGAAAGACAAATATAGGGACTTCGCAGCAACTTGGATGGATTTAGTCTATCATACTCAGTGATCTATCACAGAAACAAAGAAGAGAATACCGTATGTTTTCGCTCGTAAGTGGACCTTGAACAAATATCATAATACTACAAGAAAGGGAATGGCAGTAGTGGGAAACTGTCAGGGGAGAGAGGAGGGAGGGGCACACCTCAATAACAAGGGTACCTGCATAACGAACATGTGTATACCTAACCCTGAATTGTACCCCACATCTTAAAAAAAAAATTTTTTTTTAAAGATGAAACCAGAAGAGTAGCCAGGAGCCTCATTACACAAGGCCTTGTTGGTGGGCCATAGGGAGTTTCTGATCAGAGGACAGATGTGGTCTGACTTGGGTCTTTAAATAATTGTTCTGGACACTGTATTGGGAATAGACTCTAAGGAAGCAATTTTTTAGAAGCAGAGATATCAGTAAAAAGCTATTTCAATAATCTAAGCAAGAGGTGATGAGGGAAGGCTGAGGCGGAAGGATCACTGGAGCCCAGCAAGTCGAGGCTGCGGTGGCCGGGAGCAGCCACTGCACTCCAGTCTGGGTGACAGAGTGAGACTCCAACTTAAAAAAAAAAGAAAAAAAGAGGTGATGAGAAGTGATCATAGTATACTAAAAATTAGACATATTTTGCAGGTAAGAGTCAATAGTATTTCCTGACTGATTAGATATGGGGTGTAAGAGAAAGAGAGAAGTCAAGGGTGAATTCAAGGTTTGGGGCATGAGCAGCTAAAGGACAAGGTGAGTAGAGCAAGTCTGGATAAGAGGATCAGGAGCTCAGCTTTGCATCTGTCAAGCTAGGAGACATCCAAGTGGGCCGTTAGACAAGTGAGTTTGGAGTTCAGCAGAAAGGTCTTGGTTGGAAATAGAAATTTAGGAGTTGTCAGCATAATGTTGATATAAGACTTGAAGATTAAAGACTTGAATCTATAATACAAGATGTAGAGAAGGTCCAAGGACTGAGCCCTGAGGCCTTCCAGTGTTGAGGCAGAAACACACAACTGACACTATCACTCAGCCCAAAGTGTTCACAGTGCCCTTTGGCAAGCTATGGCCCACTACCTGTTTTTATAAATAAAGTTTTATTGGAATACAGCCATACTCATTTGTTTACATACTATCAATGGCTGCTTTCACTCTACCATGGCAGAGCTGAGCAGTTGAGACAGACATGGACCACATGGCTCACAAAGCCTGAAGTACTTACTTTATGGCGCTTTACAGAAAATAAGTTTGCCAGTCTCTGTTCTGAAATGGACAGCAAGTAGTTGCTCAATAGAACAGAGCCCAAGTCAAAGAGGGAATCTCAGCGGTTTAATGGTACTGGTGGCCTTCTGTGTAGGCAGTGGCCTCACTGAGCCTGGACTTGAAACTGTTTTCCAGAAACAGTGCTAGACTTTGAATTACTCTTCATATACTCTTTAAATCCTCACTTCTTTAATCTCTTTCCTTTTATTTATCTATAAGGCCTTTGGATAGAATGAGAAAGATATCTGTCAGAGCACAGCCAGTGAACCCATGACTCTCATTGACTCTAAACTGAGAATTTCAAAACCTACATATAGTCCACGGTGTTATTACTTAGCTTACCCCAGTGGTCAAATCTCAGCCACAGAAGCATGTTGTCGGGTTTACCTATATGTGTGAATTTTATAGCTCTTGGGTCCATTTGCAAGGAAAGGAAGAAATTTATTGAAAAAAAAAAAAAAGCTGTCCTGTTTCCCTCATTGATCATGCTTTGGAGTCCTTTGGAGTTCATAACAAAAAGGGTCACTCTTATAGCAGCAGACTCACTTATTCTGAGAGTGCATCACCGGAAGATGGTTCCATTATGAAGCATGTCATTGCAAGCACCTCTGGGTCTTATGCTAAAAAGTCATACAGCATCAGTTAAGTTTATTCAGAAGTTCTTTCAATTATTTCCTCCTTGTGAACTTCATCTCTGCATCCCTCTCTCCATTTTAATAATTCAACCTTGGCCTAGCAAAACTATCATTTAAAGATATATCTATAACCTAAGAATTAATGAGATTCTAAATCTCATTCTCCCGTGTTTTCTCCATCCTCCAGTGTTGTCTCCTTCCTCTCCGCCCAGTCACCCAGACTTGGGAGTGAGAAGTAGTGATTTATTGCCATGTGTGACTCCCTGGCAGTTCCTCACCTTCTTCTCCATTCAGTGCAGGGTTTATCAAAGCTACAGTTTATTGAGACCATTTCACAAGAACTGAATACTGATGATAAATAGTTTTAGCAATCTGAAAGCCTGAGATGAGATTCTAAGAGACCTGGGCAAGGAAGGTTTTACAGATGTTCCAATCTATGTTATAAGGGTCAAATTACCATAACATGCTTTATAGATGTTTAGCTGGAACAGTATCAAGTGACAGAATATTTGAGGCCATGTACGCCTCCAAAAAATGAATGGAGTATTAGAATGCCCTGTTAGATGGCCAGATCCTTTTATGTAACCATTCCCCTCTTTTGTTCATGAGTAAATAGAAGCAGGACTTGAGTCTGTGTCCATATTCTGTATTTAACCTCTGAGAGCTATTTCCCCATCTGTAAAATGAGAATGATGATATTAATAACTATCTTCAATTGTTTGTTTGCTTTTTTAATGAGAGAGGGAATGGAGGTTAAATGAACTAAAATTTCATGTATTCTTCCTGGCTTGTAGCAGGTGCTTACCAAGCATGAGTACCTTTCCTGTGTAGGGATGGAACTCCATGTGAGAAAAGATTTCTTGCGGTCCACTGTCAGGTCAGGCCCAGATTTAAGGCAGAGGCTGATGAATATGTAAGCCTTGGCTACAGGGTAATACTGGCATATGGAGTGTTTGGACTGAGAAAAAGGGAACATATTACCAAAACAAATTCAATAACGTCTTACATTCCTGTCCAATGTTTAATAGAGACTTATACTCACAGTCTCCTTTGAGAGTCCCAGCAGTTTCCCAGGAAAGATTCTTATCCCCATTTTACAGATAAAGAAACTGAGACTTAGATGAAGTACATGACCAGCTAGCCACAGGCAGAGCCTACACTGAAACTCTAGTTTTCTGACTTCTAGGTCTGTGTTCTCACCAATGCCTGTAACAGTCCTCTGAGGGGTGGGCTTCGGATCTCCATGTCCAGCTTCAACTAGAACAACCCTAGCCTAACTAAACTCAAGTGCTAGGGTGCTACATAAAATTTTCTCTGCTCTAAAAAAGAAAAGAAAAGAAAAAATAGATTTGAAAACCATTCCACTCTATCATGCTATCTTTGCAGCATAGTACCTCTCAAACTAAATTATATTATATTAGCCTGAGACAAGATGCAAATAGTCTTTAATTTATCCCATCATTATATCAATCTCTGTGGACTAGAATCTGGGACAGTGTTGTTCCCATTTGCAAGCGATGGATTCAAATGCAAAAAGTGAGTCCTGTGGTTTACCCGTGATACAGTGCTTGCTGTGGAATGGTAATTGCATGGTCCACCAATATTCCTGTTTGGTTCAATTACAAATGTATTCCAGGAGTTTACTTGCAGCAAGGGAAGAAAAAATGACTAAGGATTTATTGTCTTGGCAGATCTCAATGGATTTTTGCATACATTTGTATTTGTGGCTTTATAAAATACAAGACGAAGTTTCTCAGGACGCTTTGATCTTGAAAAATGTCACTGAAGTGGCTAGTGCTTTTGTGGATATTCTGTAAATGTCAGGGAATCTATAGTGTTATTGTAACAGATAACCCTGGCCAGTGATGCTTACAAAGCGATTCTGTAGCGCACCAACTTGGGAGATATTGGGATGTTCATGAAAAGATGTGCTCATTCTTCCCTGCCGATCTGCCTGTGATCCCCACCCAACCAAGCTCTGTTTTTCAAGGCATGCTATGGAATATGTGTTTATTCTCTAACAGGGAACTAAAGGAGAAGATCCAGCCAGAAATCTTAGAGCTGATCAAACAACAGCGCCTGAACCGCCTCGTGGAAGGGACCTGCTTTAGGAAACTAAATGCCCGGCGGAGGCAAGGTATTGTTTCTGGGGGCACTCAAAATTTGAGTAGGGTAAACAGTGGCCTGCTTTCTGGAGAATCACAGGGGTTGGTGTTGGTTAAGGATCAGCCATGCAGCATGGTCCTTGGAGCTAGAACGTTCTGGCTCCTGTGCATATCCAGGGAGAATCAAAGTATTCCCAGTGGTGGTGTCAGCAACAGCTAGCATGTATTGTGAGTCCACCAGGCGCTTCTTCCAAAATTTTACTTATATTAGTACATTTTGCCTCACAATAACCCTAGGAAGTAGCTACTAGGATTATGCCCAGTTTACAGATAAGGAAACAGAGGTACTGAGGGATAAAGTAACTTGTCCAAAGTCATGGATAAGCAAGGATTCACATGCCACTGCTCCAGGGCCCTTCCTTTTCGTGCTCACTGTGTGTTAGGTGAACTGGCACCCACTGCTGGGTTTGATCTTGGAGCTTTTCTATGAATGGCCCTTATTCTCATATCCTCCATGCTGATTCTCTTCCAGGTCAGAATCATTTTATTTGAGGATATAAGTAACAGTGAACTAAGATGGGATATAATCAGTTTTCATGATTTTTCAAGACAGATTTCTGAAGTGTCTCTATAAACTCTAACCTTAAAATGTCAAATTCAAATGGGGGTCAATATACTAGCCCCAACAGGTGGGAACCATGTCCAACTTTTCTTTGCTGAGCAAATAGAGAATCCTTGATTGTTTTCTTCCTTTCTTGACACGGTGCTGATTGCAAATCAGAATATTCTTATCAAACTGTCCTAGAAGCAAAAACCAGAACGCAAAACTGAAAAATAAGGTTTGAGGAGAGGTGAAGAGATTGAGGGAGGCCCAGGAGCAAGCATAGGCCTTAGCAACTGTACAAAGAACAGACATCAGTTATGGCCTGGGAGAAACTTGGACAGCTATTTGGAAACCTGATAGATGCCCTGATCACCAGACACAGAGCCCACCCACCAGTGACAAAAATCATTTTGTGTGTGAGCTGAGCCCATCCTCCTGGCCATTTACTTTAACTTCTTTCTATGTGCTGAATATTCAGTAAATTGGAAGTACTTCACATGTTACCATTAAAGATCGCATGAGGAACTTCCAGAGGCAGAACTTCCTGAGGAATGAAAAAGCAGATTATTCACAGAGGATAGGAAGCCCTGACAGGAAGCTTCAAGCTGAGCCTCAGGAGAGGACAATGGTAAGAATAGTAAAGGATGAGTTACAGAGAAAAGCTCACATTAGTAAGGGTAAGAGGGAACTCCTCTCTCCCATTGGCCACTGACGGGTGAGTTTGTCCCCTCTTCTCTCATTGCATTCCTTGCACTGGGCATCATGCCAGAGTACATGGCGTTCCAAGAAGACAGTGTGGCACAGTGGCAAGGACAGGAGCCCCAGGGCCGGATGTTGTGGGTGCAGTCTTGCCTCTACACCTTTCTCATTGTGTGACCTTGGGCAGTTTCCCTGACCAAAATGAGGATAACAATACCTGTCTCCTAAGGTTATTGCGAGGAAGAAAGGCAATCATGATTGTAGCTCTTGGAAAGTAGCAACAAAAGGTAACTATGATTACTCTGGAAGATTGTGTAGGAAAAAAGCAGTGATCTGGGAGTGAGTAGACTTGATTCTAGTCTTCTCAACTTGATAGTTAACCAGCTAGGTGTCTTTGGGAAGGACATGTGACCTCTCAAGGCCACAAGCTTCCCTCTATGAAGAGGGAAGGGAGGACTAGAGGGATTAGGAGCTCATGTAGCCAGGGTCAGTTGTATGCCCTGATGTCTTCATTGGCCTTTGGAAAAATCAATGTGTAGGATATATTGCCCCATAAAGATGATTTAGAAAGTTTTTATTTACTTGACATTGGTCAAAAGGGCCTGGAAGTTTAGGGATGGGAATGGCAGATAGACACATCCCACCATGCCACCTCTGATGCCCAGCTCGACACCTTTAGAACTTCATTTCTGAAGAAGTGTAACCTCCTATTCTGCTTTATCATGAAACTTCTCTTCCTGGATTGAAATGGGTAGGTTCTATCAGAAAATTCTGAGTCTTGATATAATAATTTCAGGGGTTTTTGTTTAAAAAATGTTAATCCCTTATCTGTAAACTTTTCCAATTTCCTAAAAATGAACTACCTCGTGAACAAAAAAATTAGCATCTAGGTTATAAATTTACTAGTTGAGCTCCCTTAGGAGCATGACCATCTATGTTTAATACAAAGTCTTCCTTCTGCGTGCAGAAAGGAAGGCTTTTTGGTATTTGGTAAATGGATTTGAAATCTGGTGACTGACCCTGTGCTTAAAAATAGGGATCTACAGCCAACTGTGATGAAATTGATTCCCTATCACCCCATCAAAACATTCTATTTAGATTTACACAGATTAATGAGAACTTGACATTTGTAATCCCTTTGAGAAAGATGCTCTTTTACATGAAATCTCAGACTGAGGTGGACAGCTGCCTGCCAGAGACCATCACAGGTTAAAGAGTGGGCACACCCCGTCCTGGTGCAAGGGCCACTCTTCCTTTAAACTTGTCCCACAATGATGAGAAGACAGACGAGCAGATTTAAGTAATTAACTTTATACAGGAGAATATGGAAGAGTGTTTAGTCTCAAAAACTGGAAAGCAGAGCAGCAATTAGAGAGTCCTTGCCTGCACCATGTTTGGCTAAATGGTCCCTGAGTTGATACTTTCCAATTGTTTGACCTGTCTCATGTGCAGCTCTGCTACTTGCATATTCAGAGGCAGGCATGTTCTGGGTTGCTGGGATCCTGGCCACATTAGAACTGGAAGGCAGCAAATCACATAAGATACAATAAGCTGGATTGAAGTCCCTGTTCCCTACCCACTAGCTGGGTAGCCCTGGACCACATGCTCAATATCTGTGTACCTCTTTCTTCTTCTTTCATATGGGGATGATGTTAGTTCCTACATCAGCTAACTGTAGGGGTTAAATTAAATTATACATCTACAGCCGTCAGTGTGGTACTTGCTGATTACGAAACATTCATTAATGATGTACGCTATGAACTTTAGCTTGTAGTTCCTCAGAGTATAGGAGGGAGGGTGGCACTGGAGCCCATACACCTGCGTCTCTTCATTCTGTCCCCACCACAGAGTATTATGCTCTGGTTGCAGAATCCTTCACAGAAATGTCCTTGCTTCTGGTTCCCTGGACTCCTGCAGGAGAGAATTAAGATGAAACCCCAGAAGTTGCCTGGGTTAGGAGCATCATTTGCCTGATGAGAATCCATAGGCTTAAGAACTGCTCCCTGTTTTCCTTATATTTCAGAAATGATGGTCTTTCAGAATCACTTGTATTGAATGGTCTTAATAAGAGTCCAGGGCTAAATATTGGAGAGTCATTTCAAGAAATGATAGCATGAAACCTCTTATTGAAGATACTGCTTATTTCATTAACCAGCATCCCTTCTCTAAGTACTTACATGACAGACTTATCCTGGGACTCAGGGCTGGGCAAAATGTATGCCTCCTACTTCTTCCAACAAGGCCGGTGGACCTCATGTTGCTTTTGTGGCCAATTCAGAAGACCTAGAACCAGAGGATTCAGGCACAGTAACACTTTGGAGTGGAAGCAGGTTGTTCCTTCCTCCATCCTTGACTGAAATTTTCTCTTAATGTTTTGTTAAACCTAATCATAACTCATTCTGACAAAAATGCATATTGAAAAAAAAAACAAACACTTTCTAATAGACCAGAATAACAAATCATCATTGTCCCCAAAAGGTAAAGGAACAACAGTGTGGATGAGAGGGACTACCACTGACTAGAAGATCAGGAAGGCACGGGTATTTAATGAAAACCAGCTTTGCAGAATATACAGGATGGATACTTTATATATGTTTTCCTCATTTAATTATCACCATTACTTAATAAATGAAGAACAGAAGTTCTTCAAGTTTTTATAATTAGGTGAAGGCCCCATGGCTAATAAGTGCCAGAGCTGAGTGTGTAACTCATGTGTGACTTCAAGGCATCTGTTAGACCAAATCATCTTTGAAAGTATTTGGGGACTCTGGTGTCATGTGCTGTAAACATCTGTCCAGTGAGGGAGAATTCTGAATCAAAATATGAGGAACTCATTTTAAAGAAAGCCCAGTGACACGAAGAAGATTTGAAAGGCAGAATGACCTTCATCTGTTTCTGTAGTTGTTATTTCCTTTTACTGGAGCACCAGAAAAATACTGGATCTCATCACCTGAAAGACAATATTTCCCTTTAAACACATTGCTGGGTGCCTCCTGTTGTGTGACTTGTGAAGGCTCAACCTTACATAGGAAGCAGACCTTCTCCTGAATACACTGAAGGCTTGGCACACTGTAGTTGATTGGGATTTGGTTCTTGCTGTGCCCTGTGCCTCTCTGAGCTGACCAGCATTTCACATTCACCAGTGGTAGCCATTATTCAGTGTGCTGGTCTCCCCTAAAGACCTGGTGGCCAGCCCCCAGCGTGTCTTCAGCCAAGATGATCAAGACAGACAATGAGCTGCACTATCTGATATAGCTACCCGTGACCATTTATGTTATTTAAAATAAAAGAAAATTTTAAATTTGTTTTCTTACTGTTGAAAAAAGCAGATTCGAGAATTTCTATCATTGCAGGAAGTTCTATTGACTAGCACTGCAAAAATTACAGTTGACAGTGCTTACTAGCTCCATAATAATCTGTGTGACATTGGGAATAGCTTTAATCAGCCCTTCTTACCAGACTTGTCACTCTGAAGCCAGGTTTTTCCTTTGATCCTTCACGCATGCACACATACACACATACAGATACACACACACACACACACACACACACACACACACACACAGGAAAAAAGTTGAAACATGAAATTGTCTCCATATCTTCCATTTTTGAGTTTGGAGATGAGGAGGTAACTATTAACATACTCTTGTTCGTAATTGACTGGAAGACCTCATATTAACTCTTATTTTCTCCTTAAATGCTAGTAAACAATCTTTGATAATGTTCTCACTGCTTCTTGCTAATTGCTTTTAGTGACGCAATCCACTTTTTCATTGCCCAGAGGGATTGAGGAACCAGTAACATCATGCTGGGTTTTGAAAGGAAAATACACATTTTTCTTGCTATAAAAGAAACTGCAAATCAAACTTCTGCTGGTGGCTGCCACTGAAACTGTCTCACTCAACATGCCGGTGTGTTGTGCTGGTTGGATCTGGCAGCTCTGTTCTCCATCAAGACAGAAATACACCGCCAACCTCTAAACCTTCCAAAGCTAAGGACTCCAGATTTTACCCAGAGGATGATACTGGCTGAGTATTTGGCCCATTTGATGATGAGTCGAGACAAGTCTCTCAGCCTCCATCCCCTTTTTCCAATATTTTGTCATCCATCCCAGACTTCCCATCTGATGAGGAGCTGAACACATCACTTACCATCAGTGATATGCGGGTCTTTTTGCTCTTTACCATTTTAGTAGCGGACAGAGGAAGAGGAATTGGTATAGCATAGAGAAGAATTAGTCAGAGGAAGAGGGAAACCCAGGGCAGGGTGGTATCATATAAGTCAAAGGAATGTAAGCTTCTGGAAGGAGGGAATTCTGTCAGCTGTGCACCAGATATTGTTATGGCAGAATTCCATGTAGCCATTTGGACGTCATTTAAACAAACATTGACAGCAACTTTGCAAGGAAGGTGGTTGTTCTGCCTCCTGAAACTCTGATAAACAGCCACTGCTTCTCTAGTAGTTTATGAATGTAAGAATGTGCTGCATTGGAGACCTCCCCCATTCCTACTCTTCCCTGTAGTGTTGCCAGAGTTACGGATTTGTCCCTGTTCCTCCCTCTCAGTCCTGGGAAACATCTTTCTCTTGGCTGCCATTAAGAACCAAGAGAGCCGCTTTTCCTTGAGTTCTTCAGCTGTCTCTCTCATGTCTGCCTTCCAGTTTAATGATTTTTTTTTTTTGCTACACCTAATAGAGTACTGAGTGCTTTGTAGACACTGCAGATATTCACTGAATAAACAAATTTACCCTAAAAGTATATGCAGCAAAAATTTCTGAAGTCTTACAAATCAATGTATCTTACATGTGAATATAAGTTCTGCAATTTATTCCATGATATATGTTTGTACCAGTTAAATTTCAGAATTTCTTCCCCTCAAAATCTATTGATTACACTTGATCTTCTTTGGTTGTGCCCTATTGACTATTTGGCTTCAAGTCTCACCACTGACCCCTTACCACTTACCCCAGCTTAAGAAGCAAGAAATTCCTATAAAGCACATGCTAAGACCTTATGCACAAAAATCCCAGCACATCCAAGTGACACCTTTCACTGACTTGCTTCTCAGCCTCTGTCACCCTTCAGTCACCCACTTAGTCATAAATCTCATAGAGGCAGCAGGGGAAGGAAAACTTTATAGCACATTTCTGTAGCTGGCTTTCTGGTCATCATAGCCATGCAGACCATGGGCCCCCTCCCCCGCCCCAGTTCCCGAAGAGCCCTACGAATGCCCAGAAAGCAGGGCCTCTTCCTCTGGAATTCACAACTTCTATTATGAGTTACAAGTCAAGTTCCCAAATGTAGTCTCCTCGGGGAAAAAAATGATAATTGCATGTTTGCCTAATCTAAATGGCTGTAAATTACTCGGGGAATGATTTTGTTTTCTCCCTTTGAAATGTTCTCCCAGAAAAATGACCCATTTTGGTGTATATGTAACATAATTTTGAAAATTTAGCAATTCCAGATGTTTTCCTAGCTATTAAATAACCTTTTCCCCCTCATCAAATGTTTCCATCCAAATTGAGATTCCTTTAAGCCTATGGGTTGCCACATTCTGACTACACTCAGGAATTCTCAAAGACAGGAATCACAGAGCCATTTTCCTTTTGTGGGTCAACACTGGGCGTTTTCTTTGTTCATTGTGTAGCTTTTACTCCCATTCTTAAAACTGTTTTTTTCTATTAAAAGAATCATAGTTAAAACATGTTTTTGTGGGGAAAGCAACTTTAGATATAAAATTACTTTTCTTAAAATGTAATGGAGAACTTTTTAATTAGAGTGGTTTCAAAACAATTTGTGTTTCAGGCATAGTAATGAGGTGACTTAATCAAGGTCACAGAAAGTGCCAACTGCATAATGGTACAAAGGGGCTTGTAGGTGATAGACACTTCATGCCTTAGGCGTTTTGTCCAAGTCCCCCTGGGTCTTCATTTATCAGCTTAGCCAGTGTCAACTGTGCACCTTTTATGTGTCAGGCACCATGCAAAGGGATTTGGACATTGCAATTATGAAGACAGTTGCTGTCATCAAAGAGACCACAACTTCTCCACACTGTCAGGGCTGTAGCCCTCTTCTTCCATCAGTAGTAATTGTTTATAATATATCCACTAGGGCAAGATGCTTAGCTAGGATCTGTGACAGAGAATGGGGACTACGAAGAGGGTTAACATGTGGGCACATTAATGCCAGTCCAAGCTGAATTGGTGATACAAAAAGGTTGCTGGAGTAGCTCAGAGGATGAGGAGAGACGCTTCAGCTGCAGTGGTCAAAGAGGGCTTCCAGGGAGGCAGCATTTAAGCTGAGCCTTGAGAGCTACACAAACATTGCTGTCACAATTCCAGTTTCTTACCTATAAAAAGTGCTCTTTGCCTTCTCCCTGCCTCACAGGCTTATTCAAAATTTCCTACTACTTGTAGGAAACTGAGGCAGTCAAGTTGAGGGAGTTATTTATAAGAATGATCCTAAGGCCCTGGCCATGCCTATTCAGAGAACTACATTCTAGGAATTGGAGAGAATGGTTGTGAATATCCTCATTCTTTGGCCAAATCTCTGAATTATTTAGATGATTTCCTCATGAATCCCCCCACATGTCTTTCACTAGTGTCTTAACCATTCATTCATTCATTGGTGTGTAGTAGCTTCAGGAGTGGGGAGTTTGTTGTGTCAACTAAGATATGGCCTTGTACACAACTATCTCAACAACCTGAAAATCTCAGACAGGTAAGTGGAAGCAGAAAAGTTCCAGGAAATCTGTTTTTTCTCTTCCCACTCACTTTTGTCAGACCTAAGTGAATAAGGAATAGTTCCTGTGGTGATTATAAATACAGGCAAACTGCCCTCTGGAAACCGCCACCTGGTAAAATCTATCGCCACTGAACTTGAAGGATTTGATGGTTACCAAATGTACACCAAGCAAGATAGGTGATGACTAAACCTGAAAATCAAAAGGGGGCTTACTGCCCAGGGCCCTAGAATTCGTTCTTCATGAAGACCCGAAATCAAATTAATTGCTTGTTCCTCTAGGCAAGAGGGTCAGGAAATAGCCATGCTGATATTTTTGAAAACCAAAATCACTTATAAACTTGTGTTTCTTTCTTAGACAAGTTTTGGTATTGTCGGCTTTCACCTAATCACAAGGTCCTGCATTATGGAGACTTGGAAGAAAGTCCTCAGGGAGAAGTGCCCCATGATTCCTTGCAGGACAAACGTAAGTAGCTCTCCCATGTAAGGGCCTGAGTTTTGGTTGTTCATTTGTTTGCCAGTCACAGTATATTATGCAGCAAAATTATCAGCCTAAATACACCCTTTGAACCTGTCCCATCTTGTTGTAAGTCTTGGCCTGAGACGTCAAGAACAGGACCTTGATGAATTTGGGCTTTGGAACCAAACAGGGAAGAAAGGGACTCTGAGATATCATTCCTGAAAGATAAACTTGGGGTTCAAACATTCACTTTTTATATTACATATCCAGGTGCTGTGTCAAGGAGCAAAAACAATATAAATCTGATTCTGTCAATTTTCTTTTTCTGATGACCTGCAATAATTTCACCAAACTTACATGTCTGACTTCTACCACATCTATTCATTACAGTTTAGTGTACCTAATACTCATAATGCAGCACTAATGATAGATTAAATTTTGGCTAGCTTACTTGAAAGAATTAACTCAGACACTTTGAAAAAGTATGATCAATTACATTCTACTGTTTGCTAAATATTCCTCAAAATATATATTATGCATATTTTGTTTTCTGCATTTTATGTTTTAACATACATGTTTTTGAAGAGGCAGCAATGGGAAGATTCTTTTAGTCTCACATCAAACTATTAGACAGTGTTAACTGAACAAATTAAGCAAAGTATTATGGAAACATTGAAATACGCAAGAGTAATAAATTAATTTGGAAGAGAAATGAGATAAAGTGAACATAGCCTCAGAGAATATCCCAGGTAGAGGGAGATAACAATCAGAACACTTTTAAATAACCTTTAAAAGTCACCTTGACCCTGAAGTGTTCAGATAAGCATGTCCCTGACAGAATCCTTACCCAAATCTCAAACCTTCTCTCCTGTCACCCCAGGGCGCATGGAAGTCAAATCTGGACTGCCTTCCTTGCAGCTCACGGCCATCAGAGGTGAAAATAACCCATGAGTGGGAAATTTCCTGACACATTCAAACTCTGTGCTGACATCTCAGGCAGACATCCTGGAACGTTCTCTCTTCCTCCAGCTTAAAAATGGGACAGTCTGGTCTTTGGAGTGTCATTTAGTTCCAAAAGCAATCTCATCTTCTTTCATAGGAGAACTGTCTCCCCAGCCTATATTCTGCCTCCCTAATGGGGGCAGAAAGAAATCTGAAATTCACTGCTGCATAGTATGGGACAGTCTGTCTACATCCCTGCCATGGGGGGCTCCTGGGCTTCTGGGCCTGTAGATAAGGGCCCTCTCTTCAGAGTTCAGAAAACCTTCCCTATCCCACCTAGTCAGTGGTTCTCTAAGTGTGGTCCCCAACCATCAGTAGCAGTATCACCTGACAACTTACTAGAAATGCAGATTCTCAGACCTTTTTCTCAGCCCTTCTGAATCAGAAATGGGGACCCGGCAATCTCTATTTTAACAAACCTCTCAGGTGATTATGATATGCACTCAAGTTTGTGAACTGCTAAGCTAGATATTGTCCAATAGTCCACATCATGATTTCCCCAAAGATGGCTTTCACCAAAAATATATAAAATTTAAGTCAATTGATAGCATGCTGCCAACTTAATTTGGGCAAAAAAAAAGAAACCAAGAATGTTAAAGAATAAAATCTAACTAAACTTCTAACTAAATATCACAATCATAAGAGAAAGGACTATTGAAAAGGTAAGGAGAACCCAGTCTTGAAATAAAGACAGTTCCTTCTGCTATATTAAATTAGCTCTCTGAAAAATTCACACCAAGGTCCTCATTTTTCTGCATTTGCTATTAATTGGTGAAAACTCATTGATGCAAACTCCTTCATGAGTAGAAACTAAATGAGGGCCAGTAATGTGAACCACTGCTCTGCAGCAGTTACATGAAAAGAGTTAGAAGTTAATGTTGGTTGAAGCAGCCAGTAGCTCTCTGGGAGGTCCCCACAGCTGTTCTCCACCTGACCAAGAGAGGAAAAAGAGCTGTCAGAGCCAAGCACACACAGCTTGACTCATTTTTTTCCCCCATGTGGCCCTGGAAATCGGCTCTCCCACTCACTGGATATATGATTTATCCTCATGTCTGTAGGGATGTGTTCCATGTCTTAACTTAAAGATAGGCCCTTGACTGAAAGGTTTGTGAGGTGTTAGCACAGCACCCCCATGACATCTGGCCAGCCGCCTAGGAAATTGGCAACCATAGCACTGACACCTTGTGTAGGGGCAGTTTCTGGGCTTCCCCACAAGCTTATGACCCTAGCTCTACCAAGGCCCCTTCCTCCGGGACCCCAGGGAGAAAATACCTAGCCAGGATCCAGGAGTACTGATGCCAGAGAGAAGCAGCTTACCAGAGTGACTGCAGGAGAGAAAGACCAGAGATGCTAATCTCCATGCAGCTAGTAGCAGTGACCACGAAGTGATGCTCATTCTGGAGAAGGTTGCAGCAGTTTCTTCAGACAATTCCTCCAAAACTCTTGTCTACCCCCTTTCTCTGTGGTCTTTGAAACAGTGAAACAAAGTTCCAAAAAGCTGCTCAAGAAATAGTGCATCCCTTGCAAGATGAACCAAGAGTGTGTACTTGTGGGGGTGTGTGCATGTGGGAGTATACACGTGTTTGTGTGTGAGTATGTTGGTGAGGCGTTATCCGTCTGCACATGTGTGCCAGAGAAGGAGGTAGATTCATTTAATGAAGTGAAATGTAGTTGCACTGTGCTGAGACAGAGGGTCTGGGCTTGTAAACAAAAGTTTGCTGATCTGGGCCTGCCACTTGGTTTTCATTTAATTCTAATTCCACATTCTATCTGGAGCCAAATGGCCACCCTCTTGGAGCCCTTAAAAGTCAGAAACCTCATTCCACTGGAAAAATGAGAAGTGCCTTTAATTAACATGCAGTGTCATTGCTCTTATGCTCTCTTGAGACCAAGGGGAAGATTGTCATCCACCCCTTGAATTCATCAGTGCTGAATATTGAGATATCAATAAATCAAACAGTGGAGTAGAATCCTCTCAATCCAGATAGTGCAGGTGAGGATTGAGAGCCTCTCCTTAGCTGTCTTCTTCCCAAAAGGTTTGGGAAATCTCTTTCCTTGTATTCCTTTTTTTTGGTCAGGAAATAAGGCCCTTGAAAATCCACCTCTCCTTATATCCCCTCTTGTCCCACATCCCTCCCACCAGGCTTACAGGTCGTCAGCACCCCCACTAAACACTGGACACTATTGCTTTTCAACCGCATACAGGCTCCTTGCTACCTCACTTTGAAAGAATCTAGGCCAACACTCCTCACTCCCACATCAGAGGGGCCTGGCAGGTGTACCCCCTCCCATGAGGAGATTAAACTCTTACAGTGGATGAGGAGAGCTGCCAACACAGGGAGGCACACAGAGCAATTTGGGTCACTGAAGCACTGTGAATAATTCAAGTCCCTTTTTCTACAGAGAATTTTGATGACAGACAATGAGAAAAATCACAAATGACATTTATTGAGTGCTTACTATGTGCCAGGCACTGTACTAAAAGCCTTACATAAGTTATTCTCTCAACAGCCTACAGAGGGATATATTGTTATCCTTACAGGTAAGGCAACTGAGGTATGGATAGATTAAGTAACTTATTCCAAGATACAAGGTTAGTAAATAGTAGAGCAAAGATCTGAATACAACCTTCCAACTCCAGGGCCCAGATTTTTACCCACTTCTCTGTACTGCCTAGATTAAAAGCCAACAATGATCATGGCTTCAGCACCAGGAGTTAATTCTCAGGATAACCCTATGGGCCCTATGGGACAGATAATGTTATAATTAAACATTGCAGACAAGGCAACTGAGGCACTAAGAACTTAAACGGCAGCGGCTCAAGCCTGTAATCCCAGCACTTTGGGAGACCAAGGTGAGAGAATTGCCTGAGCCCCCGTGGGTTCAAGACCAGCCTGGGCAACATGGTGAGACCTCGTCTCTATAATAAAAATTAAAAAATTAGCTGGACATAGTAGCGCATACTTGTAGCTCTGGCTACTTGGAAGGCTGAGGCGGAAGGATCACTGGAGTCCAGCAGGGTGGCTGTGAGCATGCCACTGCACTCCAACCTTGGCAATGGAGTGATACTCCAACTCAAAAAAAAAAAATAAGAAAAAGAACTTAAGTGATAGAGCCAGTTAGTGGATCTAGAAATCAAACCCCGGCTCTCTGATTTCAAAAGTATAGCCCTTCCCATCAATTCATGTCATGTGGTTGGCCCACCATGTTGGAGAGACCAGATGTTAACGCAGCTGTCCTGGAATCAGCCTGTCCCTCCTCTGTGTCTCCACCTGCAGGAGCTTCCACTGTGGAGTGCTCAAGGCTTACTAGCTATTTCCTGGGGATGGTTTCTGTCTCAACTTGGTTCCCAGTGATGAAAGCTGAAACTGTTTTCATCATGGTGGCCACACTTACTTTTCTAGTCATATTTTTGTTTTAAATCACAATTTAAGTTCTTTCTACAGATATTAGCAATCAAAGTCTAGATTTCCTGAACATTTTGGAAGTAATAACCACATTTGGGGTGATGCTAAGCATGATTTCGGGGGATGACACGTTCCAAGCATAGGAAAAAATCATGGCCTAGCAAGGGAGCAAGGAATGGAAGAAGGAACTCTAACCCCAACCCTGTCCCCCACTGGCTATGTGACATGCCATCATTAATTTCATCGTTAAGCTTCAGTTTTCCCATCTGCAAAAACAGGAGTGTTGAATTAAAGTTGTCTCAATCCTGTTCAAATGGAAAAAGCATTGAAAAACATGAGGCCATACCTCAGGGGTTGCACCTGAGGGGAGGGGGCTTTCTTCACTGATGACCCTCTTGGTTCTCACATCTCTGGTTACCACTTCCTTACCATTTTGTGATCCCACACAAAAGGGCCTGATCAAAATGCTCAACTGGCTTTGAAGTCATCTAGAGCCCCATGCTGCCCCCTGAGTGTGCAGATTCAGGAGATGAGCCTGACCCCTCTAGTTCTGTTCATAAGAAGAGAGAGGACGACATTTGAACCCTTCCAATGTCTAATCTTCTAGTGCATCTAGAGACTATGCGGAAAGCAACTTTTAAAAACTACACTGTATTTTTAGAATTTTTTGTTTTCCTTTTCGTCATAATCCTATGAGTGATATAGCAGCTTGCTTCTGGGATAGGAGACAATGCATATAAAAAACATAAAATATGTACTTCCACAAAAACCACTGGAAAAGTGCCTCCTCTCTCCTGAAGCTTTTCCATTAGAGATTCTTAAGACTTCTCCATGACAGACTTTGGTATTATTCTTGTCCCATTCTGTGTGATAGTTTCCAAAACTAAGGAGTAACTTGTTACTTGCAGATTGTAGACGCTATTTCTAGATCATTGACCATGCTATATTTATAACAAAAGACTTTCTTCAAGGGACTTGTGACTCAAACTCTTAGTTCTTAGTAATTTTAGGATACCTGGGAAATGATAGCTTTTAAGGGGCCTTCCTTTTCTACTGTTTTAATATTGTATATATTCTATAATTTTATCTTTATCTAACTATCACCCCACCACCCACTTCTCCAATAAAAGTATGTGAGCTTTAACTATGAAATTTCTCAACATCTTCACTATTAAGGGAGTCTGAGGAACTGAGGAGTTGGGGTTCCCATAGATCCTAAATTCATGATAAAGCCAAGCCAGTCAGTATGCACTCCTTGATTCACAAGGATGGATGACTTGAGAACTTGAGAAGGTGTCATCCCCCTAAATCATGCTTAGTATCACCCCAAATGTGGTTATTACTTCCACTGTGAACTGAAAGATTGAGGACTGGAGAGGGATGGATGAGTTGAGAACTTGAGAAAGTATTTTAGAATGGGTTTACTAAGTATATCATAGATTCACTTCAATGGTGGATCTTCCACTAAGAAGTTAACCAACGTCCCAAAGTGTCCAAATGTCCCCTCCTAGGGTAGTGACTAGGCAGCCAGATTAGCCACTGAGAGGAACAAGGCTGACCAATGGTTATTGGAAATTTGAGAAGAGCTGAAGTCAGTGTCAAAAGTAGGTTAGGAATCATAGGAAGATGCCAATCCATAGGGACCAGGCAGAAAGGGGGTCTTAGGTAAAGGGTTATACCAGTTAGAAGGGATTGCACTGCTACATTCTGGTACAGGAACAAACAACCCCAAAATCTCAGTTGCTAAGCACAACAAAAGTTTATTTCTTGCTCACATTACATAACTTCCATTGATTAGCAAAAGATTGCTCCATGCAGTCACTCAGGAGCACAAGCTGGTGACTGCTTTGCCATCTCACAGCTGTGCCATCTACATAGATCATGTGGCTCCTTCAGTTTCTGCGCAGGGGAAAGATAGAATGGAGGACACCTCAGCCTACAAAAGAAGCACTTCTACTAACATTTCATTGGCCAAAACTGGTCAGATGACCCTACCTGACTGCAAAGGCTGCTGGTAAATGTAGTTTTCCATGTGACCAGAAGCCGAGGAAAGACAGATATTCATAAGCACAATTAATATCTGCAAAAGGGGTCTAGAATCAGGGCTGCAAGATGTGATGGGACAGATGGCAGGAAAACTTGCAGAGATTCCTGGAAGGCTCATCACAACTCTACTCTTCTTAGGGTTAGAGAGAGCTCTAGAGGTGTCAAAAGATTTGAACAACATTCTAAGTAGTTAAGGGTACCTGGAAAATGATAACTTTTAAGGAGCCTTCCTGTACTACTGTTTTAATATCATATACTATAATTTTATCTTTATCTATCAACCCACCACCCACTTCCCCAGTGTGAGCTTTAACCATGAAATTTCTCATCATTTTCACTATTAAGGGAATCTAAGAAACTGATGATTTGGAGTTCCCACAAATCCTAAATTCATGGCAAAGCCAAGCTGGTCAGCATGCATGACTTGATTCACAATCCCTCATGGACTGAAGGATTGGGGATTGGAGAGGGATGAATGACATTGCATTGTTTTAAATTAAAGTTTCAAGCCATCTTACTTCCTTCTCTCTCTCGGTTGATTTAAAAAAATTTAAGTGCACAAACCTTTCTATATCTTTTCTTATCTTCCTCCACTTCCTGAGTAAGACACAAGATAACATCATTTTATCTAACTGCATTATTTCCAGAATCCTCTATCAGAAAGGAATGTTCCCTTTATTTAACTGAGTTTAGTTTTGTTGTCTGTAAAATAGAAATAATAAAACCTGCCTCACAAAATTGTTGTGAGAATTAATGAGATGCTAGAGACAGAGAGATTTTGGAGAGTGAGAGTTCAGAACTGCTTAGAGTCAGATAAATTTTTTGAGACATGACTGCTTTCTCTCATTATCCAAGACTCAGAAGCTAAATAGATGCAGATGCTATAGCAGGAGAGACTGATATATGCAAAGCACTTAGGATTGCTTCTGGCACATGGGAGCCCTCTACAATATCAGTATTTGTGCCACTGTTACTATTACAATCACTGTTATTTCTACTCATGCTTCTAATGTCATCTCTTCGCACACTACTCTCATGGGATTTTTTTTTTTTTTTTTTGGTCTTTGTTTTAATAAACCAAATCCTGCTTACAGGCAAGCTTTTTCCCCTTGCCAAGGATGCTTTTTACCAGAATATAAGAATGTATTTTAGTTTCTAGTCCTGAGACACTGCCTTATGTCTCTTCTTTTCATTACTCTTCTTTTCTCCTTTTGCAGTGGTTTCTGGTCCTGCTTCTTTATTGACATTGAAGTTTTCACATGGTGTAGTTACTTTCATTTTCTTTTATGAATTGCAGTGCCGGTGGCAGATATCAAAGCTGTGGTGACGGGAAAGGACTGCCCTCATATGAAAGAGAAAGGTGCCCTTAAACAAAACAAGGTATGATCTCCAAATTATTGCAAATAGCTCTATTTGTCCAATGCAGTCAGCGACTGCAGTCAGCCCAGCCCTCCTTTACAGCAGCGTGTGTGTGTGTGTGTGTGTGTGTGTGTGTATGCTGTTGCACATCTCAGCTCTTTTCTTTCTTGATTCCTTTTGCATCTCTCACCCTTATTTTTTCTCTCCCTGACCACTTTTCTATTGCCCACTGTCTCTTTCATCCTCTCACTTCCAGTCTACTTCTAACCCTAAGGATTAACCTCCCGTTTCTGTTCGTCTCTCCCTTCCTCAACTTCCTCCCCACTCTCTTTCATTTTCTCCTGCTCTAATCACCCCTTAATATCCTCCCTGAGGTCTCAAGTGAAGCCTGTGACAGGCAGAGAACAGCTGACTAAAAGAATCCTAGAAAACTTCAAAGGCCTGATAACCTTCCACATCATGGAAAGTAGGCTGTGAAATATCTCAAATCCAACTTAAAGGAGAACATTTCCCCAGGGATGTACATGAATTAAGCCCCCTTTCACACTGCAACACTTTTCGCCATCCCCTCCTAGTTTACCAACCATTCCATTATGTTCTATTGCAGAGGGCAAAGGAGGGAGGATTATCTGAAAAGGTGGAAGAATTTTCTTTGCTCCCTGGAGCTATTTGCCCTTGTAGAGGCCATCAGGGAGCCAATTCTTTGTTCATACCTCTTGGCATCTTGTAATGTATGCCATCCATGACCAAAAGTATCCAGATTTATCTGAGTGCTCCAGATACCTTGGGACTAAAAATGTCACATAGATCAATAAGTTGCTTCTTTATTTGCAATGTCAGTATCTAAAAGGGACACCAAGTGATACACATCTTGCTTATCAATCAGGGTTAAAAATAAATAGTTCTGCTCTATAATTTCAAGTGTTATAAAACAAAAGGGAATCCAGGTCTTTGCAAGATGGCCCTCTGTATGGTTAAGGAAAAACAAAAGTGCTATGAAAATACTGTTCAGGAAGATAGAGGGCAGGAGAGGTAGCCCAGGAGGCTGATTGCAAGATCTTTGTTTCTTAAGTAAAGTAAGTATAACGTGCCTCAAGTGAAATTCCTTCTTTGTTGAGCCTGTCACAATACTATCATATAATGCATTTAGTTGATAAGGATGTTAGGGCATGTCTAAGAGGCCAGGGTCTGTGGATTATCTGTTATACAGCACCCATAGAAGTTTCTATCCTCTCTTCTCCATGATGTGGGGAGTCAGGGATTCTGTAGCTCAGCAGATTCCAGGGGAGCATCCTTAGTTGCAGCAGCAAGTACTCAGTTTTCATGGTTTGCCTCTTGTAGGGCAGACTTTCTTCAACACCAGCAGGGACTACCATATGCTTCATATGTCAGGTGTTCCCTCCAGAATCTCGGAGAGCACTGGTTCTGCTCAGCTCCAGCTGAGAAGGTCCCTGTGGTTATATAACACTTGGAGCTGAGCAAGAAACAACGTGGGGGAATTGGCAGCAACTGGAGTCTGTAACCCAGAGAAGGCCAGGAGGGGCATACCTGAAAGCAGAGCAGCCTGCCAAGACTCTAGTGTGCTAAGTAAGAACAAAGAGAATTGTGTGAGATAGGTGTGGAGGGACTTCCTGTTTCAGCCCCAGTATGGAAGGAACTTGAAAGTTGCCACTCCCATTCTCACAGTAAAAAGAAGCTAAGCAAAGTAGAAATCTACAAGTTTATTTGGACCTATCAGAGATAACTGATATTACATGCAAACCATCACGCTGGAACATGGAGAGTCGGGTGTCCAAGAAGTCATAACAACCTTAAACATGCCTGAACTTAACATGAAGACATCAAAATACATGAGTTATGAACCTGATAGAACTGAAAGCAGAAGTAGACAAATTCCTTATTATATTGGAGACTTCAGCATCCTTTTGTCAGTAATCAATAGATCAAGCAGGCAGGAAATCAAAGGGATATTGATGACCTGAACCATGCCATCAATTAGCTTGATCTAATTGACATTAATAGAATAATCTACACAACAACAGCAGAGTACACATTCTTCTCAAGCTTGCAGAAAACAGTCACCAAGATAGACCACACTTTAAACTATAAAACATGTCTTAGCAACTTTAAAAGAATAGCAATCATACAAAGTATGTTCTCAGACCACAATGGAATTAAACTAGAAGTCAATAGCAGAAAGATGGCTGAAAAATCCCCCAAACATTTAGAAATTTAACAACACACTTCTAAATACCCCATATTTCCAAGAAGAAGTCTCTAGAGAAATTAAGAATGTTTCAAACTAAATAAAATGAAAGTCCAACTTATCAAAATGTGTGGAATGCAGTGAAGGCAGTGCTTAGAGGGAAATTTATAGCATTGAATGACGATACTAGAAAAAAGAAAGATCTAAAATCAATAACGTTTCCACCTTAAGACACTAAAAAAGAGAAGCAATTTAAGCCTAAAGCAAGCAGAAGAAAAAAATAATAAAAATTAGAGAAGAAATCAGTGAAACTTAAAACAGTAGAGAACAATCAACAAAACCAAAAGCTGGTTCTTTGAAAAGATGAATAAAATTGATAAATTTCTAGCCTGACTAACCAAGGAACATTAAGAGAAAGACACATGCCATCAATATCAAAACAGGGTAGAGATGATGATTTCATTTGAACCTAGGATATATATAGGTGTATTCGACCTTATTGTATCAGTCTCCTCTCCCCTTAAAGGAGACTAACAACATAAACTGAGTAAATGATATTTTGCAGTCTCCCTCTTTTTTTACTTATTGTCATGACACTTCTTAAAAAAATATGGATGGATGGATGGATGGATAGGTGGGTGGATGAATGGATGGGTGAATGAGTAGGTGAATGAGGGTGGATAGATGGATAGATGGGTAGGTGGGTGGATGAATGGATGGATGAATGGGTAGATGGATAAGGGTGGATTGATGGATGATGGGTAGGTGAATAGATAATGATGGATGGACGGGTAGGTAGGTGGATGAGTAGATGGATGAGGGTGGATAGATGGATGATGGATAGATAATGATAGATGGATGGATGGATGGATGGATGGAGGATGGATGGATAGGGCACAGTGTTGTAAACATAAGACTGCACATGAAGGCTACTTGCTGGGACTCACTGGCCCATATTTTCCAGCCACTCCTGGAGTTCCAGTCTGCCTTGAGGGGTGAGAGTGGCAGTACTTCCACCAGCTTAGCTATTTCATTTGCATATGGATGACATTTACTTGTCATGTAATATTTTTTATTTAAAAAAAATGTGTAAGCCGGGCTTGGTGGCTCAGCTTGTAATCCCGCGCCTTTAGGAGGCTGAGGTGAGTGGATTGCCTGAGCCTGCGAGTTTGAGACCCGCCTGGGCAGCGAGACCTCATCTCTACA